GGAGAAAGAAACAGCCACGATGAAAGGTTGTAATTTTCAATTTGTCCATTGAGCTACAAACTCGTAGTGAAAACTTTCAAGATTTATAGCTCAAGGTGAAAATTTAAGAATTTAGATATCTAATGTTCGTTAAATAATTTGATTCGATATTTAGTTCATTCATTAAGGAGGAAATTTTACCACTGCAATAATTCAAAATGATTGACTTGATTGCCTCCTTAAAGCTCAAAAAATTTTAGACTGCATCTGAATTGAGGAAGTTATTGGCGTATTTCAAATTTATAAATTTCAAATTTACAAGTTTAAATCACCATACATGTTCAAATAATAATAGAAGTTAGAGAAATTCAAATTCATGTCAGATCGACTTTAGTCATTATTTTAAAAGATTCATCAAACCTAGTCATTTCAAATCCATTATTTATCTCACCTTGACGATCACACCATCCGCGAGTATGAATCTTCATTTATATTCATCAGAACGGCAAGCCAACACCATCGATACAAGTTAGACAATGGATTTATAATTCTTTCCACAAATACGTTCAAGGAGTTTAAAAGTAGCAAATTCAAATTTCAAAAGATTCAAAATTAAGGACATTCAAATCCCTCAATCCAAACATAGACTTAATATTAAATGGACAAACATTTTCCATATGCATCTTCAATCAAACATTTTCCATATTAATTTTACAACAAATGGAGATGCGTAGATATGAGATAATTTTCTATGAATCTGAGCAAAGGATTTCTTTCTCAATTACCCTCAACGCTGTAGAGACACCATCCTGGAGGAGATATTAAGAATCATACACACGAGCACTTGCATCAACATTTCACTTAAACAGCTAATTCAACCACAAGCATGTGAATACTTAACCAGTATAGAATTTTATGACTAATGAAAAATTACCTCGGTCGATATTCTATCAGCAATTTGTGTGGCACGCAATCTGACCTCAGTAGACAACGCATAATTAATTGCAACAACAATCACATTAGCAGCTTTTGATATGCACGTGTCATCATCTTCATCCGGGACCAAACATGATCTATCTAATGGTTCAGGGGCAACACCAAGCCAACACATTCTCTCGGCCCAATAAAATTGATCGAGAATAAATGGACAGATAACCTGTCACCAAACCCGTGAATTTAATACGTAAATACAACACGTGAAATCGTGTTTGCCGAAAAAGTCATCATCATGGCAAATAAATATTATGCTACCTCAAGGGATGAAATTTTAAATGGAGCTTTTAAACTGAACAACAATATCAGATCATATTAACAGGTGGAAATATTAATAAAAAAGCTCGACTTCAAACAAACCTGAGGAATTCCTGCACGTAAAGCCACCGCAGTAGATCCACTGATAACAAGAGTTTGCAATTGAATAGAATGATAACAACTTCAGGATTTACTCAAACGGATTTTCTTAAAACTTCAAAGTGAAGATGAGACGAGATATAAAACCTTCCACCGTGATGAATGGCAGCACAACATCTTGGAAATAGCCAGCTATATGGCATAGCACTGNCATCCTTACTTGACTTTCCCATATAAACGTTTTAATATATGTCCAATAGATTATAGATGCAAAATTTTTTAATTAGTTTATTTCATAACAATGCATGTAGCCAATGTCATAAAGAAAATATATCTCGTAAATTTTATTGAAATAACAGGGAATCGCAAACTAAAGACTAATAAAACTATTGACAATACAGTCACAAGGGAAAAAATACAATGAAATGAATATGGACCTACAAGTTAATAAAGAGACATCTAACTTTGTTTTTTTATAATTAATCAAGAGATACAATTGTGATTTTATTAAATTGTAGAATTATACATTCAATTAGCTTGGTCCCAATTAATTGAGAACCATATGGATCTTTAATTTAGGGGAAAAAAACTGAGAATAAAGAAGTCAAAAATATGCATGAGAAGAGATCTTAATATCTCTTTCAATTCAAATGTCCTAAAAAATAATTAGGTCTTAATTAGGACAAAATGTGACGCTTTTACAGGTCTTGATTTATATCTATTTGTGGATCATCCTCCACCGATGATAACACTATTCAATAATGTGGTTCGCGAGCATTCTTCCCCAAGGTTAGCATGTTTTTCTGCTTTGTCTATTAATAACTGATCAGAAATTTTACAGAGATGCTTAGTCAAATGATATCAGAGGTTATTCAAGCTTCAGGCAGCGGAAACAAGATAATTAAACAGTGGATAAACAATTTAATTAAGTTTCGACTAATTTTTAGTTTCCTGAATTTATAGTTTAATTTCTCTTTCAGTAATTAAAGGCTCAATATATAACCACAGTTTATGTTACATCATTCCAGCTCCTAGAATGCAAGTAATCTTTTTCATAACCTTAACAGATATGTGAAGGAATATTTCAGACCTAAGGTGATATTAGATCTCTATTGGAGACTGATAGTTATTTGTGCTCATTTTTCCCCACTCCTACTATGTAGTATATAGCATCCACTTCGTAAATATACATTCAACTTTAATGAAAGAAAAAAACTCCTTGTAATTGATGAGTGATGCAGGTGTTCCTAGCAAAGCCAAGGAGAACAGAAAGAGAAATATAAAATTAACTAATATTTATTGGTTGTCCTTTCTCTTGTACGTGAGTGTGGGTTGAATAATTTATGTCAGAACAAGCATGACAAACAACACCAAATATTCATGTTTATTTGGCCAAGCCAAACTGCTATACCAAGAATATTAGTCTCGAAAAACATTGCAACCGAAGTCTCCAATCTTAGGGAATTTTTCAGAATGCATTTAAATATGTTAAGGCTTTTACAAGGACTTACCCAGAAAAGTAAAATAGTCTGTCATCAAATAGGCAGGTCTGGATTTCAGTAGATTCTATTCGCTCAGTATTTGATGATGGTGTCTGGGCAAACAATTGGATAGCAGCATCAAGAGGTCCATAACCAGCAGACAACAGAATAAATCTATGATTTGTGATACTCAAGACATTTTCAAGAACACGAAGAAATGCCTGGGGGTTCCTCATGTAACCCATGCTGCATATTAGAAAATCATTTAACTGAAACAAGTCATGAAATGAAGGTAAAGAACCTACTAGTGAAGTAGCCAACTGTACATCTATAGAAACATTTGTATATTACAACTCACAGTACATTCCCAAGTAACTCAACTGTTAAACAAAGATACTGAATCTAACCATAAATTTTTAAGTTTATACTATGATGGAATTATTTGAAGGGTTCTGAATTCTGATGGTATGCCTGATGCATCATCTGCTGTTGCCTGTAACTCAACTTTTGGCAAGTGCAACTGTTTCTGACAGAACAAGCATGTACAGACAAAAAACTAACAAGAAAATACCAACAAGCGTGTGAATATGAATCTTCTTAAGCAAGTAACATCTTAACAAATAATGGTCACTTTTATTATTAGATATGCACCTACATTCAAATAACCAAACACGACGATTTCTCTGGCCAAAAATAAAAGATAAAAATATATAAATAGAAATTAATAAAATAATAATAAAAAGAAAAATTCAGCAGAACTTTAATTTATCAAAAAAGATCTCACTCACCTACCAATAGAACTCAAACTAATGAAAATAGGTCGCTCTGCAGAAGAATCCAGAAATTTTTCTAACTTGGCATGCATTGAACATAACTCATTTTCAGCATTCAATTTCCTCAATGAAATTTCTGCACACCTGGAACAGGAGAACTGCCATTCAACGGGGGGAAACCAAAAGCCACAAACTCGAACTGCTGAAGGCCAGTAACCTAAAATGACACAAGAACATGTGTGATTATGAATCATCAAATTTTAATGTCAGAAAACAGAAAATATAAATGAANCAGAGAAAAGGAACAAAGACTACAATGACATGCCAGCAGGAATTCGTGTAATGGTTTGGTTTATTAAGATCTATACAATAAACTAAAGATACCTGAAGCCAGTTGACAAAAGAAATAGTTTCCTTGGGAGCACAACAAAAATGACAATAAATTTATCTTGATACAGCGTCTAAGGACAAACAAATCCAACTTAGGAAAGTTGAGAAAGGAAACTAGAATCGCAAAATCAGCCTATCACTCGAAATATGCCTCGACAATGATGCTCGAGTCAAACAGTTTCATGCTTATGTTATTCACTTTACAGTTGGAAGTTGACGGTCAGGAAACATAAACTTTACAGTAGAATAGAAACCAAACGCCTATTTCCATCTGTTGAATAACTTGGATGTAACGGGATTTATAAATCAATGATACATAATGTTGTGCTCTTAAAGCCATCATAGTATGGACTTATTCACAAAATCTATTTGAATATTGTTGAGTTCTTCCAAGATTACTTCTACACATAACACTCCAATTGTAAGATTTATATAAGATCCAAAAACCACGTAAACACGCAATAAAAAGTATTAAGTGATTTCTTATTTCAATTTCTCTGTTATGCACATGAC